TGTTCCTGGATCTCTCAGTAACTTCCTGCTTAGAAACAAAAGCCATGAACAAGGCCTAGTGAAGACTAATTCTTAACTGAATTATTTGGAGCCTGTTATGACATATGTCTGGTTTTCTCAGGAATCAGGATAAATAGTATGAGAAAAAAATCTATATTCAATGGAAAAAAAAGATTTGTCCATAGGTAGAAACTTCAAGATAGATGAGGACAGAGGGAAGGACTCTTATGATGACCAAACACTGACACATGTTGCAAACTCCAAGAGGAGTCTCAGTCTGTACAGATACCTGAGGCAGAAGAATGACCTATTGATTTTAATCCTTAATCTCCGTGGTTGGGCTATCACACACCTGCTCCCATGATTCTGTCACATGTCTAACCTGGATGGGTTTGAACCAAGACAGGATAAAAGATAAATGGGATCCCAAAGAAAGTTTCATGGTATGCAGAATTCCAAGCTGCTTCTCTCAGCATGGGTTTCTTCTATATTCCACAGACTGGATGGTTTAAGAGTAGGTGTGGGCCTTGTCCAACAAAAACATGACAGTGTGCCAATTTCCCAGAAAGAAGGAAACTGCCCCCTCTCCCATTTGATTAGGAAGGTTCAGAGAGGATCAGGGTATTCTCAAGAACAAACCAAGTCATCGGTTGTGGAAGGTCATTTTCCAGGAAACAGAGAGCAACTCAACTCTCACAGTAAATAAAACCTTATTTTTAAAACACAGCATGATGACTCCTGCCTCTAAATTGGAGTCAGGGAGCTTCCTCCACAGAACAGCAGACAAGCTTCAACCACATCTTTATTGTCCATTCATCACCTGATGGGCCTCTAGGCTCATTCCCGGTCTTAACAATTGTGAAGAGGGCAACATTGAACACAAATGATCTGTTATCTTTGCCATAGAGACTTGTCAAGTGTCTGGCCAGGAGTGATGTAGCTAGGCCACATTTCTATATTTAGGTTTTGGATGAAATTCCAGACAAATTTTCATGGGAACTGCAACAGTCCACACTCTCAACAACCATGTTTTATGGTTCCCATTTCTCCAATTAATTGTCAACAATTGGTGTCATTTGCTTCTATAATAAATGCCATTATTACTACAATAAGAGGAAATTTCAAACTATTTTTTTAATTTGTATATCCCTGATAGATCAATATGTTGAAAACTGTGAAAAGTGTTTATTAGCCATTTGTGTTATGGATGTGTTTCCATCATATGAAAAAACTATGAAGACATTCAAAGCATCACTGCTGTCTGTCTGTAAAATGAGTTCATTCTTGGCCTTTCAAAGATTAGGAGAGAACTCTGTGGGTTGTGCCAACAAATTAGGGAAGAACACCATCTTTGGGTTTGTATTAAGCTTCACCCTATACCATGCTTGGTATGCTTTCTCTGTCTTTTGAGTATGTGATCCACCCTCTGTCAGCTTTCCCGGCTGCAGCAAGCCAGGAGCAGCGTGCCATTTACCCAAGAGTTACCCGAATTGAAACTCAAATACGTACTTGGAGGTTCCTTGTCTCATAATATCATATAGCTTTTATGTCATTTTACTTGTTTGTTTACCTCTTATTTTATCCTACATTTTCATTGTATATATAGCATGTCTTCTATTTTTGTGTTTTTTATGGGATTCCAGAGTCTGTACATCAGGAGGTCTCTTCTAAGGCATCTCTTTCATCTGCCTTTTTAAAGCACTTTTCCTTCTGTTTGTTTTGTCCTATTTCAATGTGTTAGTTTTTGTTTTATCTCATTTTATTTTATTTTATTATTATTCATTAGAAGACTATTTGTTTTCTAAAGAGGAACAGCAAGTTGGTGTATCTAGATGGAAGGGGACTAGGAGAGGTCTTGGGTATTGGAGAGAGAGGAGAAATTTAGTCTGAATATATTATGTGAAAAATTTATATTCTCTGAAAAAAAAGATTTGTAGGTAAAGACTACTAGATAGATGAGAAAAGAGGAAAGGACTCATATTGTACCCAGACACTGAGACATTTTGCAAACTCTAAGAGGAGCTTAGTCTGTAAAAAGACCTGAGGCAGAAGAATGTCATAGGTATTCACATCCATAGTCACTGCAATTTGGCTACCAAACACCACTTCCATGGTATTATCACCTGTCTAACCTGGGTGGGCTGTGAACCATGACAGGATAAAGAATGAATAGAATCCCTAAGAAAGGTTCATGGTGTGCAGAGTTCCCAGCTACTTCTCTCAGCATGTGGTTTCTCTGCATCCTCAGACTAGATGGAGCAAGAAATAGGTGCGAACCCTGTGCTACAACAATGTAGCAATTTTCTAGGAAATATGCACATCCATCTTATGTTTGAGAAACAGGAAGTAAAGCAGGGGCAGTGTGGGCTTACTAAACAGAAAGCAGGAGTTCACGAATCAATTGTGTAAAGAAGGTTGGCACTGACCTGACTCTGCAGAACAGGATAAGAATGGAAGTGGGGAGGTTGGACTAGGAAATGGAGGATGGTCATACCAAGGTGTGTTTCCTGTGATCCCTGTAATCCTCAAATCTCTTACACTAGACTACCACTACAGGAAGTCAGATACAGTGATGGCCATATTGTAATAGCCAAATGTAGTAGTATTACAGCCATTTCTAAAGAAGAGGCTGACTCCCCATATGCAAATGCATCTTCTAGCTCTAAGTTAAATCCCCTCCTGGACTGTGGGAGCTCATATCTCTCTCACAGGAGGCTGACCTCTGAGGAAGAGAAGGTATAGCCTAGAAGATGACACTGTTGGGTCTTCTGTATCTGGTGACTGCCTTTCCCGGTGAGTGTTACCATTTCATACATGTGTCCATGAGGGGTTGTGACAACCTGTGATTGACAGAATTGTCTCTTCTTGTCTGTAGGTATCCTGTCCCAGGTACAGCTTCAGGAGTCAGGACCTGGCCTGGTGAAGCCCTCTCAATCACTGTCCCTCACCTGCTCTGTCACTGGTTACTCCATCACCAGTGGTTATGGGTGGAACTGGATCAGGCAGTCCCCAGGGAAGAAGCTGGAGTGGATGGGGTACATAAATAGTGCTGGTGGCACTGGCTACAACCCATCCCTCAAGAGCCGCATCTCCATCACTAGAGAAACATCCAAGAACCAGTTCTTCCTGCAGCTGAACTCTGTGACCACTGAGGACACAGCCACCTATTACTGTGCACGAGACATAGTGAGCAGACTTCAGCATGAGCCCAGACACAAACCTCCCTGCAGAGGAGCTCTGGACCAGCAGGGGTCGCTGAGCTCTAACCAAGCACAGGAACTCGAAGAATTTAGAGCTGGAAAGAAAAAAATTCTGGTTTTCTCTGACTTTGCTTCTCATACCCTAAGAGCAGGGAGGCCTTGGGGTCATTTCTCTCTCTCTGAAAACTGTGTTTTTGTAAAGTCACATTTGCCTATTTCTCATTGTTGCTCCCTGATGTTGTGGGTGGTAATATTTTACTCTTTTTGGTGGTAAATCTAGTCTTTATCAGCTGTGCCATCTCTGGTCTTAGGAAAATTTTTTATTTAACAAAAATGGCTTTTTGAAACTTAGCTGGCCTTGGCATCATACTAATTGTCACATAAAAAATGAATTCTACTTGTGATTCTCCATGCACACCCTCAGATACATCTGTATGTCAGAGCCCTTGCTAGAGTATTGACACAAGTAAGTTGCTGTTATGTCTAAGGAATGTGTTGTAGACTTAATGGGTGTCCACACATCACTGCAAGAGTGTTACCACCCCTGTAATGCAGAGCAGGAATTTCAAGAGTTCCATTGTGCATGGCTCTGGTCTAAGGACTTTGTGTTAATCATTCCCAAATTTGGATTGTTTTGTCCAAAGAGTACATAGTTTTCCATTGTGGTTAAAAACAAATGCTCATGTGTTTACACTGATAATTACTATTTTTTAAATGGGTCAGTAAAGAAACCCTTGTAATTTAACAAAGAACTATAAGTTATGTGTGTAGATACACCTGGGCCTGCACCATTAGTGTTTGACCTGTGATTGGTGATCTCCTCCTACAGAGTTTCATGGGAGTGGATACCTAAGCCAAGTGCAGACACTAAAACACAATCCCTCATCCAAGTGGAAAATCATATCAGGAGATAAGTGGCCTTATACCATGTGTTTCCCATTGAGTTAACAAGATTGATAATCAGTTCTGTGATGCTTTTTTCAAATTCTGAATGACCTCTTCGGGAATACTATACAAACCAAAGATGAGAGATAACGTGTGGAAATATCCCTGAAACTCTCATAGAATCACAAAGCAGGTGGCACAGAGTGCATAGTGGTGGGAGTCCCTAACATCCTGCACTTCTCAGCTTCTCCCCAGGGTTAGGACCTGTTTTCCCTAAGGACGCCCACAGATAAAAGATCAGGCATAAAGATACAGGATATCAAAGATGAGGTTTTCAGAGCCAGTCTAGCCAGGACTCAGAGACTGTCCTCAGTTGTGAGGATTCTCTAATGTTGACCATGCATCCAACTAAAAGAAAAGGACTTAGAACAGAAAAAAGCAGAAGAAACACATATGCAAACTTCTGGAAAAACAAATATTAAATGCTTGTACATTTAAAAAATATTACAAATTGTCCTAATATTTGAGGTTTTGAAATTTTCATGCACAATTATCCTAATCACTACCATTACCTGTAAATCAGTTTTGTCAGGAAAAGGACTAAATGTCTCAGGTTGGGATTCTATTGTGAGATTAGGCCTTGATTATATCCACAGAGCCTGCATAGGTCATAGGAATGGCTGCTTTCTCAGACAGGATTAGGAATTTGACCTCAGCATCCTGCTGTCAGACCTAGGACTTCTCTACCCTTTTTTTCTCCATCTGGCCTAGGTCCTTATTTTAGAAAAATCATGACTCATAAATATGCAAATGAAGTGAGTCTATAGTGATAAAACAGAGATGATCACATTCCACAACAACGTATAATTTGTGTCCTCTGTACACACAAGTCAATGAGCACACAAGGTCCTCACAATGAAATGGAGCTGGATGATCCTCTTGCTGGTGGCAGTATCTACAGGTAAGGGGCTCCCAAGCTCCTGACTTGAGGAGGGTCCATCCACTCAGGTGACAATGACATGCACTCTGCCTTTCTCCCCACAGGTGTCCACTCCCAGGTCCAGCTGCAGCAGCTTGGGGCTGAGCTGGTGAGACCTGGGGCCTCAGTGAAACTGTCCAGCAAGGCTTCTGGCTTCACCTTCCCTGACTACTATATGCACTTGGTCAAGCAGAGGCCTGGACAGGGTCTGGAGTGGACTGGATGGATTTATACTTCAAGTGGTAATACTGGCTATGCACAGAAGTTCCAGGACAAGGCCAAGCTGACTGTAGATAAGACCTCGAGCACAGCTTACATGAATCTGAGCAGCCTCACATTTGAGGACTTTGAAGTCTATTACTGTGCAAGACACAGTATAGCAATTCACATCCTGAATGTGTCAGAAACCCTGGAGAGACAGGAACCTGCCTTAGGACTGAAATATCAGATATTTTAGCCTGGAGACTTGATCAGAAATAATCATTCTGAATGTACATTGGTCAACAACCATCTCTTCACAGTCCTATAAGATGTTTGTCACTATTTCAAAAGGACATCAGAGAACAAAGTAATGCTGATTCAGGATACTCCCTACAGTACTCCATAACTGGACTATATCTTTATCAGTGACCAGCTCTGCTGATGTACTTCTTCCAAAATGAAGCAAAACAACAACAACAACAACAACAACAAGCCCTGGTAATATATATATATAATTTGTTATATAAAAAGACCCTGTGACTAGAAAACCAATTAGTTTACCATCTGACCTGGCTCTTCCCACATACAATAGCAACCTCAGGTTGAGATTTAATTGGAATGTCTGTTTTCCTGCCAGTATGTTTATTATCCATCTGTAATTTATTATCACAGTTCATCATTATCCTACCTTATCCTCTGGGCCATTTCCATCAGATCACGTGATACTCAGGAAATGTCTTCTGAACCAATAAAAATGGATAAAAATTCCTTGTCCTCCAAGGCCTAGCACCCTCCCACTCTCAAGTGTACATCATAAACTGTCAACAACATCATGAGCTCTCTTGTTAAAAATAAACCATTATCAGGATAGAAATGAAAGAGGGGCTTCACTCCTGTGAATTCGGGGAATAATCAACAGAAAGAGGAAGACTGGCATAATGTTGGGTTGTTGTAAGATTGAAACTGGATGAACACATGCATGTTTCACAGTGCTGACTTCTGTGAAGAATTTCTGGATTTCTCAAGGAGTGTAAAAGCTTCCATCTTCCAGAGAATTCCTCCTCATGAATTCCCTGATGTACCAGTGTCAAAAAAATACCTAGGAAAATATTTCTGACCCTTACAGTATTGCTAAGAGTTTAAAAATATGTAGCACACACACTGAGAGAAACAATCAATCAATGGGACCTCTTGAAACTGAGAAGCGATTGTACAGCAAAGGATACGGTCAACAAGGCAAAGCAACAGCCTACAGAATGGGAAAAGATCTTCACCAACCCCACATGTGACAGAGGACTGATATCCAGAATATATAAAGAACTCAAAAATTAGACATCAAAACGACCAACAGTCCAATTGAGAAATGGCCTTTAGAAATAAACAG